ACACACAAATACACCTAAATATATGAATTAAAGGCATGTATGTATTGTTTTTGTTGTTTTACATAATTTACATTTAACTTCACAACACCAATGGAATGTACATGCACAACGTTCAACAACAGCTACCTCTTGTGTTCTATAACCTCGACCACAACACATTAAATCACATCCATCAACACCTATTGATGTATCATTACATTGTCGACCATGTGTACCTTGTATACCAAGACGGGCATTCTTTTCACAAAAACCAGGTGATGGTTCTAAATACACTAAATCTTTAACACCTGGTGGTTTATGTTCTGGATTATATGGTTTAAGTTGAAAATGATATCTATTACATATAAAAAAGATTGGAAGAAACAAAAAAAAAAACAAGAAAAGAAAATTAGAAAATTTTTTATGAATTTTTTTTGTTTAACTTTAATAATATTATGCATATTTAATTTTTATTTACATAAAATCATAATTTTCTTGAAAATAATTTATTTTAAATTGCAGAATATGCAAAATATGAATAAGAGAATTTTTATTTCATGGCTACATTGTAAGAACAATTCACATGTTCACTTTTGTTATCCCTTAAATTATTTATTAACTTAATTTCAAAAGGATTAGTTCCGATTATTATTTTAATAAAGATTATTTTTGTTTATATGTAATTATTAAGTAAATCACAGTATAATAATATATTTTATATTATGACAATTGAATTCAGGTATGACGGTTTTCAGTTTCTGGAACATTTTAGATTATGATGCCACACATAAAATATTAAAATATAAATTGAAACATAACTTGTTCAAAAAAAGTTGAGTTTACATAGAATTTAATATGTGATATGTGAGGTGGTGTGATATTTTCAATTAAAAAGGGTATATGAAATGAATTCTTGAATTAAATTCTCGAAATTCTGACCTTAAATACGTTTTCAGTAATTTTAATTTTTGAATTTAGTTAAGTTATACAGAAATGAAAATTATGTTTCATACGTAAAAAATAGAGCACCACATTTTAAAATTGAATATTGATTAAACTAGTTCTTTGTTTAATAGCTTAATTCTCTTGATACCTGCACAAAATCTTAAAATACATAATATTAATTTAATTTTTTTTTTTCATACAAAAACTTACCTATTATTCTTTTTATGATGACGATTTCTTGATCTAACAGAATTTCTTGATATACTATTCGGACTTGATGCAATATTATTTGATTGTAAATTACTTTGCATATGTTTTATTGAATTTTCAATTAAACCATTATTATTATTATTGTTATTATTATTATTAATATTACCACTATTTATATTTCTTCCCAATATATTACCATTTGAATTCATACCATTATTACCGGTATTACTAATTTTTGATAATGATAATGATGCTAAATTATTATTTCCATTATTATTATTATCATTATTATTATTATTATTATTGTTATTAGCATTACTATTACTATTTGCATTATTATTTGCATTATTACCGTTATTATTTCCATTATTACCGTTACCATTACTGTTACCATTATTTCCTCCAGCATTATTACTACGTAAACTATTACTAACTAATACACGTGATGCACCATCAAAACGATCCTTTAAATTATCACCAATAACACGAAAATTTGCTAAACGCATCCAACATGTTTTTACAGTACATGAACCAGACATTCCATGACATTTACATTCTTGACGCATTTCAGCTTGTACATGCTATATAAAAATAGAGGTAAAAAACAAAAATAAATAAATTAAAAAAAAAAAATCAATGACATTTAAAAACATTAAAAATAAATTACAAAATTTTAATAAGAAAAATTAAATAAAAAAAATAATTGAACAGAAGATCTTAAAATTGTGATAATTTACTTATTAAGTGTAAAAGGAAAATATTTAAAATTTAATTAAAAATGGCAAAAAAAAAAAAAAAAATACATAAATGTGTGTAATAAACAGGAAAATGTTTTAATTATTTTGAAATAGTAAAACTGAGCGTATAAATTGTATTCAATCTTTTATAATCAGTGAAAAAAAATCTATAGTATGGACAAGAACCATTTTTGTGGTTTGTGATACAATCAAATTACTTATTAAGAGAAATATTAGTATTTTTTGTTGTGTTGCTGTTGCTATGTTGCAGATATTTATGTTTGTTTTGTTTCTTTTACTTCAACTTATGTGAAATAGTTGAAAGAAAAAAAAAATTAATTTGTTTTTCTGTTTCAGTTTTTTTAAAACATCTTTAACATCCTTAACTGCAATAATTGTTACTTGTAATAAAATCACATTTTGTTTGTTTGTTTTTTCTTTGTTATTAAATTTAATTACATAACATGGTATCAAAAATTTGTTTCTCCATTTAAATCATAGTTTGGATCGGATCTATATTGAAATAATTATAATTATATAGACGGATAGGTGTATGTGGATTGTTTAACATTTTAATAATTGTGGAACATTATTCCAAGTATAAAATGAATATATACAAGTTAAATATTATTGTTCTTTTGTAGAACAACGTTTAAATTATGGAAAATTCGAGTTTGGAATAAAATTATAAATTAATGAACTGTAACTGGATAATTATTGCTGATAACCACTAAATTAATGTTATTATGCAGCCCCTAGTTGTATGCAATTTTTTATATATTCTATTCAAATATGTGTGGTGTTTTTTTTTGTTATCCCAATGAATAAATTTTTGTTTAGTAAAAAGAAATATAAGATGTGAAATTAGCTTTGATTTATGTGAGTTACGAAAAAAATCCTGCCTTATACTTAGTCTTATCGTAGCTATTTGGGTATAAATCACTTTGAAACATTCAAAGTAACTCTTCAAGGTGTATGTGCCTTTGTAAACCTAAGGTGCGTGTCGGGAATCGATCTCTTGTAAAAGCACAATATACCAAAAATTTCTTTCTCCTGTGGGGATAAATTCTAATAAGAATAATGTGGGTAACAATAAATGTGGGTAATTTGCTCTTAGCAAATATGCAATAATTTTTTGTGCATCGTTTCTAGTCGTAAACTGTTGTCACTCAAAACTCAACTAAATTCTTAATTATTATTGCATTGAATTAAGTACCAATTCACAATTTAATTTCAAATTAAGCGTTATAGTATTTCAATTCACAATATTTTTTTATAATAAAAAATTTTATTTATTACAATTTTGCTAATAAAATTTTAGTTACACATTTTTATTAAATGTGAAATATTAATTTTTTATTTTCAATAAATACTTAATTTTAAGGCCAACATTATTGGTAATAAAATTTAATTGAATAGTTTTTAATTTAACGAAATATTTTTTTTTGTTCATTAATTACTGTAGTAAATTTATTAATTTAGGATGAGATTAAAAAAAAAATTTTTCATCTCTAATTTAATTTTAATAAAATTTTTTTTTTATAAAAATCTTAGGAAAAAAATAAGCTATAAAATTAGAATAATTTTTTATTAATAATTTTGTTTTTAATTTTTTTTTATTTTTTTAAATAATGTAATTAAATAAAGATAAAAATAAAATTAATATGAAAACTACTAGCTTTAAAATTTACAACAATTTTTGTAATATTCGTTATAAAATTTTTTTGTATTACGATATTATATATGTATATATATATATATACATATGTGCATTGGTATAGTATTGGAGTTGAAGTATTATTGCCACACAAGTCGTATAAGGACAGATTAAGTATAAAGTATGGTGGCGAAATATCTATAAGAGAAGGAGTTAGAGAAGAAAGATTATGGGCTAAAAAGAAAAAGAATTGATTTTTTCATTGAACAAGTTTTTAAAAAAATTTTCTTGTTTCTATATAAATAGTTTCTCTTAATTTTGTATTATGGTTTTTGTGGTCTTTTTCTTTTCTCTAGCCATATATTAAAATTGGTTGACAGCTAATAAAAGTTTAATAAAATCATTTAAGAAAAAATATTGTATCCTAATCTATAAAATAACCACTCTTATAAAATGTACATGCATATATACATACATACATATACAACTGTTGCAATGTAAGATTTACGTTCAAATACACATCCATTTTCACATAAAATTCACGTGTGTATGTATATGTAAGAATTAATGCGCAAATTTTCTTTAATTTCCAATTGGAAATTTTTTTTTTTTTAGCTTTTTCCGTTATTGTAGTTGTTATTTTCTGTGTATATTCACATATATATACATTTTATGTTCATTTTCATTATATTTGCTCTTTAAACTTATCGTCGGATTAAAAAATTTTCACCGTATAGTTTTAAAATGGTAAGCATGAGTTTTGCGCATTATTGAAAGTAGTTTAAAATAAAGTTGGAAGCAAAATTAAAGAAAAATCAATAAAAACAAATATATGTACATGTATATATGTGTATAAATGTACAAATATATCTATAAATGCAGAAAATATTCAGTATTTAAATACACAAGGGAATTTATGTCGAGGTAAAAAATTTTATCACAAAAAATCATTGGAATTTAATTCAAGTAAATAAATAAATAAATAAAAAAGTAAAATAAAATCAACAATTTTTATTATATCTAGCATATAATTCAAGATCAGTCAGTCTGAATGTGTAAATTATAAGATTTAGAAAAAAATGGAAAATTTTAATTCAGGATTTTTTTTGGTATATGTATAGGTACATAGAAATCTATTTATAAACTAAGTATTACCACAAGTAGTTGAAAAATTTTTGTTAAGTAATTTTAAAATCCTGGAAATATTTTAAACATATTATTGTAGTTTCTCTTAATTAAAACTGAAACTATTGAATTGCTAATTCCCAACATATAAGAATGAGCGATATTACTTTTAGCTCATTTTGCAAATCCCGTCACTCCTTCCTGCAATGTTCTTTAAGTCTACAATGTTCTGAATTGAAAACTGTATGAATCTTACTTGATTCTTGCCTATCACAATAATTTTCTAAAACTGTCTTTTGATTTATTAGTCTCCCAGGAGACACTCGATTTATTACACTCATATCTTAGTGTGTGCGATTCGATACCGCAGAATCAGTCAATGCTTCAATAAATGATTTATTAACCTCTTTTCTCATCAATATATCTCCCGTCTTATTCTCTTCTATGACAACACAGTTAACCGGTACTGTCGAATTTTAAATTTTTTGGTTAACATTTTAAATAAGTTGGCAGCAATGTATTAAATCTTATTATTTGTATTGGTATAATGATTCGAATTCGATTACATTCATTTATGTTTTCGTTTTCTATTTAATTCAAAATTCTATCCATTTTTGAATATTTATTAACAGTTATATAGTGCATTATAATGCAATCAGTTTGATTTATATCCTTGTTCGATTTTAATAATTATAATATATTTTATTGCAATATAACTAACTTATTCATTAAACTCCTTAAATTCTTTTAAAAAAAATTAAAATTAATGTTTCTTTTGATTTCTTATGCGAAATCGTAACATTGTTATTTATATATATGTATGTGCATATATTTCTTATGTCATATATAAATATACATACATATTTATTTCTGTTTTGCACTATTTTCAAATCATTTAGGCTATCATTGTTGACGTGACAGAAAAACATAACAAACAAAAACAAAATATTTTTTACGGCAAAGAAACGCATTTGTTATTTTACCATAAATGGTAGTAAAGTGTAAAAATTGTAAGATAGTCTTTTTCTTAAATCTCTGGGGATGTATAAATTTCACAGTGTATATTATTGATAATCAATTGACAACACATCAGATATGTACCATGAATATAGTATGTGTATATGTATATTAATCAATGATCTGATCAGAATTCATCTAAATAAAGAAAAAAAATTTTAGTTCATGTACTGAAAGTTTAAACTGAGTGATGTTAAAATTGTAACACGAGCAGAATATAAGAAGATAAATTTAAAGGTGTGTAAGTTTTCCTTTACAAATATTTTCAATTCTTTCATCAATTTTACACATATTTATGTTTAAATGGCATAGTATTTTAAAAATATTGAACTTTGTTTTTATTTTTTATTTAATCTACACATCGATTTTATTTGAGATTATTTCAAAAATTTCAAGTATATAATTCTGTTTTTTAACCATAATTGGTACGTAGAAAAGTAAAGCCTTTGATCATTACACTGCATATAACTTCAATTGTCCGTTGTCACTTTTTAGTGAATTATGGAATTTTAATTTTAAAATAACAACTATTGTCACGAGTCAAGATTATTTCTCATTGTTTTTAATATGAAAAAAAAAATTTCTACCCTATATCCATATATTTGGGCAATTTGAAATACCTAAAGTCCCAATCGAAGTGCAAGTTTATTTTATTAAAGATGATTTGAAAAATAGAGAGATAAATATCAAAAAGAGAGCAAAATGTGACGCCACTAGTTTGGCAGTCAACTCTTTCGTAAACTTATTATGAGCACGCTATTTAATAATACTTTATAATACTCAAGCGACAACAGCTGCTTATCTCAATCTAAGGTTAAATATAGTGTTTATTGAAATAACTGGAATAAAATAATGCTCATCATCGTCTTTTTTGTTAATTTTATGTAATGGTAGACACGATTATTGCTACTTTAAAGCTAAATACGTGAATTACAATATTTACTTAATTTTAATACTACTTTAAAGCTTCTTATGTTTGTAATTGTGTAAAAAATTTCAAAAACAGAAAAAACCTTTCAAAAACAATATAATTTTTTAATTCGTT